GGAAGGTGAAGGCTTCGGTTGAGAGGGAATGCGAGGGCTTCGGTGCACGGAGGAGAGTCAAATGCCGGAAAGAAATCCAACCGAGTGCCGAAGAGGTGAGGCGAGGGCTTCGACTTGTTCGACGTGAGCAGAGGAGACAAGCAGGTTTCGCTATGAGAGGAAGAACGAGTCGAGCGGGGGACTTCGGTGCAGAAGGCGGGAGTCGAGCGGGGGACTTTGGGCCGAGTGCAGAAGAAGGATTCGAGCGAGAGGAGGAAGAGACAGTTTAGAGACGGGATGAAGCAGGCGTGTAGAAGAGGGGGCTGAATGATCAGATTTTGGTGGAGAAAGAGAAAAATTTGCGTATGAGACATACGCAGCGCTGCGTACATAATGGAGGTTATATGAATGTTATATTGACATTATATTCACGTTATATCCCTTGTAACCTCTATGTAACTTTTATATAATCTACTTGTAACTTACCTGAACTTATAAATAAGTTTTGCACCTCTGTTTTCACATATCTGTAGGTTACATGTAGGTTACATGGAAGTTATATGGATGTTACAATAGATATAACACAAATATAATGCTCATATAAAGCCCATATAATCTCCATTATGTACGCAGTGCTGCGTACATCTTATGTACACATTTTTTTCCGTGGAGAAAAGACGAGCAATTGGTTATCCGACGATGGGCAGGTAATTGATTATCAACTCAATTGGAATAGGATAATAGCTAAGTAAATATAATTAAGGTTTGTTTAGGCGGGGTAATCTAAAATTTAAAATTTCAAATTTCAAATTAAAAATTGGGTTGTCAAACCGATCCGACAATATTGGGCTGTGTTTAGCCAGAATCAAACCCAGGTTAAGCATAAACTCGTCTCCTTTAATTAAATTTAATATGCACAGATTTTCGTGTCGTTTGCACGCGCATGAAACCATAACAATATGGGTGTCATTTCTAGAACGTCCAGAACGCGCTTGCGTGGTTCGTTTAGTCATTCGGGGTTTTTCGGACGAGTTCTTCGACGGTCAGTTCAATTCAAGTCAACCTCTTGCGTGGTGCAGTGAGTCCATAATTGAGGCGTTCGCGAGTGTTCGTGTCACAAATGGTTTGCTGAAGGCCTCCAAAATCCTGTGGGAACTCATTTCGGGCTCTCCATATGTTGGTCCTTAACCTTTGCAACTAAACGTTGAGTGCTTGAGACCACTAATGCGAGGTCTTCACGAAAATAAGTTTAGAAGTGGTGTGAAGTTCTACATTAGGTGGGCTTCATTACTAGTTTGCTTGGATGGTCAATAAGAAACTCTAAAAGCTAGATCCTAGATTTCAGAATGAAAAAACTAAAACTTCACTGAAAATGAGGTCAACATGGACATGAGGAGAGGAACAAATTAACAATCGATGAGTAAAATTTATAAGGCTATGAGAGGGACACTCAACCATATGAGAAAATGAGGCCAAGATCCAAATGAGCATAGGAAAAATAAGGGTCTGTTTGGGGCAGCTGCAGCTTATCCAGCTTATCCAGATAAGCAGCTTTTCTGATAATCTGTTGATCAGCAGCTTATCCTGATAAGCTTACTAGCTGTTTGCTTTGTGTGATTTGAAAACAACTTATTCTGGATAAATGATCATTCCGTATCTGTTCTGGATAAGCTGTTTAGCTGTTTGGTTTGTGCGTTTAGAAAACAGTTGATTTACAGTTTTTTTGTGGATAAAAGATCATTCTAATAGACACAGTGTTATTGTTTACACTAGAACTTTAATGACTACACATTTGACAGTTCAAAACAAAAAAAATATCATTTCATGACGGTACAAAATTATGATAACATCAATAATTTTATTTAATTATAAAAAAAGTTAAATTTGTTTCTAAAAAAAGCCCAGACGAATTGAGGCATACAAAAATGTCTTGAGGCATTTGCATACATACCAGACAAAGCTTACATATTTACATATCCAACATCAATAAATAACAATTCATACAAATCTGATGGGGCATTATCTAAAGAGCATAGGGGAGCATTGTTTAAGGAGCATTAATCAGAACAATAACTGATGATGTCTTCTTAATTGAGGCCTTCAAAATATTTAAATTGCATGATTTTGAACTTAAAAAAGAAAAAAATTAATTCAAATGCTTGTGGAAACTATTTGTTATGTATAACAACCATTTATATTTAACTATACACTGCAATTTCTGCAGTTAATTGGATCATCAGTATCTTCCAAATTCTTCAATTTCTTACATGTCACTTACTCTCAGTAGATACACAAGTTTGATGCGACAATGTATGGATAAGAGATTTACATGTGAGGAAGAATGATCACATCCTTTTTCATAGATTTAAAAAGGACTGCCATTAATAGCTGCAAAACAAGAAGAAGATATTTCATAATATGAAATATAAATATGGATAACTATACCTGGGCACTAATCTCATTGGATCCACTTTAAAGGTTGCAAACAGGATGGTTTGTAAGATACAAGTAAATAAATAAGAAGAAGAGAGGCATCTAAACCGTATAGTAAATGTGGCATTATACAAAAATTTAAGTAACAGATATCATGATATACCACCCAATTCTTATGAAATTACATATCTGACACGAATAGTTTTCATTCTTCATTTATATCCTTCAAATCTTTCGTGTCACATAAAAAATGCACTATTTATATATTAAAAGGTGAAATACACCTTCTCAAATAGGGTAGGTGGCATGAATGCCATATAGGTGTTAACCAAGTGAGTGGTATGCATGTAAATCTTCCTTCATTTTTTCACTCAGTTTCCATGGCTTACATTAGAAATTCCAAAAGACATTTTTTTTGTGGCAAATGCATTATGTGCAAATAACACTTCAAAGCCAAAACCACATCACAACTAATGTAAGAAAATGTGTATAGCACTTCAGAAAAGTTATTATTAGTGGTTGCTGAATACCGCATCTGTCCAGGGGTTACACCGAAGGAATACAATATAAAACGGGATAAAGAGATAGAGAAAGTTTTAAAACAAATTTCAGCAAACCTGACGGCTCTGCATCTCTTTCTATCACCAATAGCTACAGAATCAACTTGACGGTTCTACCTAAGAAAAAGTCTGAAGCTACCTTGAAGGAGATCAAAGGGGATGACTACAATATAAAACGGGATAAAGAGATAGAGAAAGTTTTAAAACAAATTTCAGCAAACCTGATGGCTCTACATCTCTTTCTATCACCAATAGCTACAGAATCAACTTGACGGTTCTACCTAAGAAAAAGTCTGAAGCTACCTTGAAGAAGATCAAAGGGGATGACATTGGCAAGAATCACAATGCTTGCAAATCTCTTCTTCCCCTATATGCCGCGCTTGGTAAGGCCGATGACATAGAAAGAATTTGGAATGTTTGTGAACATAATCCCCGATTAAAGGAATTTTCTGCGGCAATAGAGGCATGGGGCAAGCTGGGCAAAATAGAAGATGCTGAGAAAGTTTTTGAGAAGATGATTATTGAGCATCATACTGCTTGGAAAACCTTGATCATTTCCATCAAATGGAAAAAGCCTGGTGACTGCCGCTGGCGCCGCCGACGAAACATCAACCCGAACGAGATCGGGAGATCGGCGAATCAAAACATTCTCTTAGTGAGCTCGAGATCGGGAGATCGGCGAGTGGGGAAAGGAAGAGGAGAAGGGCACGGGAGTAAAATTTTACCCGTATGCGAATTGAAAACGCCGGACGCGGGGTCAATCCTGCGTCCACGCCTATTAACGATGACAAAATCACGTTTTGCGATAAGCTATTCAAACGTATAAAACAAATAGGACGACAGCATTTTCAAAACACCGCTGCAGCAAATAAAATGCCCCAAACGCACCCTAAAATGCTGAATTTGGGTCATAATAGCCTGTGATCTAAGAGCGCATGAGAGCATGAGCACAAAGAGGAGTGTTGTAACATGAATTCTGCAATATGAGAAATTTCTAATATATTGCATACGTAAGTCTAATTCTCATATAAATGTACACACAAAAAGACTAAAAAATTGCTTTTGTATTAGAATTTGCATCTCATATCTCCCCTACTTGAATCCTAAAAACTTCTTCTTTTTGTATACCAAAGAAAAAAAAAGGAAGCAAATATTACCAATTCATAAGATTTTGTAGCTTGTAACTCAATTTTAAAGTTATTAATATACATCGTAATTATTTCTCTCCATACAAAACTCAACACAAAACCGCATCAAATTAAAGTTATTAGGTTGGTGAAAAATGCGAAAATAAGGTTTTTTAACCTGAATACTTAACCTTCTCCTTCCTCCCTTCTTTCCTTTGTCTTCTCCATCTGCTCATCTTCTTCTTCTTCTCCCTTGGCATGCTCCCATCTTAAGCTCGGTTACCGCACAAGATAAAGTTAAAGAAATGATAGGGGATTTAGAGCTAAATGCTTATATTTACTTAATAGATAATTATACAGTTAATATTCTAATCCACCATGGTCACTTGATTCTCCATTCATTGTTGTATGATGATTTTAGTGGAAAAAAATAAAAATTCCGCTATTTGCTAAATTACCTATGAACAATATTTAGTAAAATAAAATTTTAGGAAAATTTTATTCAAATGGGAATTAATTTCATTACTTTCTCATCTTTGGTTATTACCACATGTTTTTGTATATCAAAATGTTCGATTTGAAGTAGAGAATGAAATGAAATGATTTTTTGTGATATTTATAAAATTTGTAATTTTAGAGTATAATTCTTTTAAAGTAATTACATTTATAACTTATTAAAAATTTTGAGTACTGCAAGTAGGGCTACACATAGTTGGTTGCCCTACGTCCTTCTCATGGCAGCTTTCAGTCAATTTAATGTACACTTTTTTTTACGAGTTTATTTTTCTGTTTCATTAGGTTTGTGGTCCCGATGCTGGGTCTTTCATTAATTTATCGTTGAGTGTTTCTTTCTTGAGCTAAATACTACTCCTTAAACTAACTAATCCAAATTTTTTTATAGGGCTCTGGTGATGCAATCCGACCACATCTTCCTGACCTTGTTTGTTGTATGCTGGAATGTTTATCAAGCCTTGAAGACCAACGACTTAATTATGTTGAGGTTAGCTATTGTGGACACTTAAACTTTTATCTGTAGTTTCAATCGTGGAGTAATTATATCATCTTTTTAATGTATATCATCCTAGAAAATGTTTTAATTTTCTTTAATACATCAAATGGAATCAATCTTTACTAATTTCTTTTTGGTGTGAATTAGTTGCATGCTGCAAATGTCGGAATTCATGCAGAAAAACTGGAGAATTTGCGAATTGCTGCATCCAAGGACTCTACAATGTGGGAAACACTTGATATGTGCATAAAAGTTACTGATAAGCAATCACTGGAATCTTTAGTTCCTCGTTTGGCCCAACTTGTTAGAATTGGAGTTGGATTGAATACAAGGTGCGTTATAGTGCTAACCAAATCCAAATATGTCAAATTACTTAATGAAGTTTCACATGTTCTAACATTCTATTTTGTGAAATCTATTTATTTGCTAACTCTAATAGGAAAGTTGACCAATTTTTGAGAGTAGTTGACACCGTTCTAGGGTCTCTAGAAGGTGTGATGGCACACCAAAAGGTGTTTGGATAGTTGTAGAAGGGGTAGTGGGAGGCGAAGGATGTTGGGCGGCATAAGATCAGCATGCACGACGTTGGACAGAGAATTGAAGCTGTAAACTCGCAAATTTATGCTGCAACCCGCAGTTGGAAGTTTGTTCCACGGCTTTCCAGTGATAAATCGGCGTGGTAAGGACATTGTGTGAGATGTACCACTTGTTCTCAGGCAACCTACAGATACACCACTTGCAAAGTGAAGAAATTATAGCACTCCAGAGAGCAGGATTCAGAGAAAAGTTTTTTAATTCATAAAATTAACAAAATCTAAAATCCCAAACAGTCTACTACAACATATATAAAAGTCTCCTTATAGCAAATACCTAATTAGAAACTACAAAAATAGGTAAAAAAGAAAACTCGATAGAAATTAAAGGAAAGGAAAGAAAAACAAAAATAAATGTGGTTAGCGCTGAACTCCCGCAAGTCTTCAACATTGAATTCTGTGATAGTTGGAGACGAGGATTCTACGATATCGCGCATGTCCTACATGCGGGATCTTGGGCCCCACAGTAATAACGCTCCACATCATTCTTCTAGGTTTGGAGAGGCTTTTTTTCATCTTTGTACGCACCTTGATCTTATCTTCAAATATACTTTCCCACAAAACATTTAAGAAGATTTTCAAAGCTGAAATTCACCACTCTTAGCTAGCCATCTGGTTTTGGGTGCCTTGCTAAGTTGAGCTCGAACTTAATACTCAGCTTACTCTATAGAATCTTCAGAAAATGGCTCAAAGATTCCTCGGTTCTATATGAAATTATGAGATGTTGGACCACTTTCAGCGAGGACTGCTCTGTGTCCAGTATCAATCTCCCAAACTCATCACCTTCTTGGACAAACACTAGTAGCCCTGTTGGCGCATCCTTCAACTCCTATAAAAACATAGTGTTATATCTTCAAACACGATAGACTCGTTCCTCGGGAAGAGTACAATGTGTTTCTCATCTTTTATAAAAGAGTATGTGTTCCTGTAGCGATCAATGTTGTGTAGGCGTGTAAACGAGCTAAACATGAGCAAGCTGAGCTTCAGTTCGTGTTTGGCTCATTTGAAAATGTTTGTGTTCAAATTCAGCTCGTGTTCAAAATTGTTCGTTAAACATATGTTCATGTTTGATTCAAAATGTTCGAATTAAGCTCGAAATGTTCGAATTGAGGTCCAAAATTTAGCATATAAACGAGCCAGCCAAATTTGAGTAGCTCAAAACTATGTCGTGCTCAGCTTATTAAAATTTTCTTTTATTTTATTTATGTAAAACTCTACTGGAGGAACAAGGATGAAGAGAATACCTTCACTTTCACCAAAATTTAATTTAAATTTGTCAAATTGTCCATTTTTAATTTGAGCTAAATTCAAGCCTTGGGAAGTACATTCTACCCTATCTATGGTGAGGTTCAATTTATCCATTGGTTTTGTTAGACGTCATATTTTCACAACAACCTCCATTTATAATGAGGCTGTATGCATTTTCCTACATGGTATGACAGGTATGGAAACTATTGTGGCGGAGCCATTCTTGTCATTTCATTGCTCAGTTTGAAGGACCAATTGAATTACTTACATCTTTCCTTCTTCTATGGTTAACTGGTACTCTTTATTCTTCCCTTGGTTTTCACCCTCTGCCTCCACTGCACCTATTTAGTGAAAGAGATCACTATTCTGATTGGGTAATTAGATGCAACATGCCCAAAATTATGACACTTGAAATATTTTATGGTTGGGAGGGATTTAAGAGTGTTAGACGTCTCTATTTTTTTCTCCAATTTGATTTGATTTTTTTTTAGCAGGGTAGACTGAGATGCTTCACTGTGTGTACTCCTGATGCTTTATGCTAAGGTTGAACTTTGTTTATAGAGTGTGGTGATTGTCTAATCATGTTGTTATTTCTCCTCCTTGCATACTAGTGTTTATACATCAAGTAGGGACTAATACGACTGCAACTGAACTACATTACTAATAAATGACCTAAGTCCTCCAAGATATCTTGCCATTGTGTGCTCTTTTGGTTCTATTAACTCATATTTCAGGATGAGTTGATTAAAGTCAGCTGTGTACTATTCCACAAAAGTTTTTTTGGCATTAGTTTTGGAGTTTTATGAAAATGTCATGTGAGTACTGTGGAGGAAGATATTTGTGTTCCATCATCCTTTTCGTCTTTGACCACGTGGTGATCTTACTCTTATCTTCTCGCTATCGAATATGATTCAGATTCTCCCATCACAATGAAGAATATTTTTTACGTTCGATGGCTATCAATTTTACTCTCTTGTCTTGAGGAACATTCTTGTACTAAAAACTTGCTCCATTGTTTGAAACCACTTGATAAACTCATTTGGGTTCATGTGACCGTCGAAATCCTATAAATTGACCTTAATTTCAAGATCCGACTTCTTTAATATTCCATACCAAATCATAAAGTTAATGTATCTTCATCGCTGGAAACTGCATGGTAGAAGGGATTCACTTCCTCTTTATCATGCAAGTCATTGTTATAGCTATGAGTGATTTCATTAGATCATCGCTTGTCAAAGGCAACAAACCTCTGTTGTAGTTAGAGGATTTTTCACTTTATATCCTCCATAACAAGTTATTGAGCTCTTCGCCGAGAATTTCCTTGTAGTGGCATGGACTCTTTTCCTCTTGTTCAAGTTTCAAGCGGATTAGGATTGCAAATAAAGACTGGTTGGAGGCTTAAGTTTTGCTGGTATGTATCGGGGTGGATTTTAGTGAAGGTAAGAAGGTTGGATTTTGAAAATTTTGGATTAGTGCTGGGAATTGTGGTTAGGAATGTTTGGGTATGGTGGGATTTTTTTTATCTGGAATTTTGGATTGGGATAAGAAAGACAAATTCCTAAACATCTATAGTTTGTTGGGCTCTTATATCAAATGAAACCGTTCTAGGGACTCTAATAGGTGTGATGGCACACCAAAAAGTGTTGTGAAGCTGTAGAAGGGGTAGCTGGAGGGGGAAGGATGTAGGGTGCCAAAGGATCAGCATGCACGACACTGGACAACAAATCGAAGCGGTCTAGTTGCAAATTTATGTCGTAACCAACAGTTGGAAGCTTGTTCGATGGTTGTCCAGGAGCAAACGGTGAATTGGCGTGATATGGATGTCGAGGAGAATCTATCACCTGTTCTTAGGCAAGCAACAGACATGTTGCTTGCAAAAGAAAGAGGATACAACACTTCAGAGACCATGATTCAGTGAAAAGTCTCTAAATTTCATAAAATAAACAAAAACTGAAATCTCAAACACCCAAATATGACATATTTATAAAAGTCCCCTCATAGCGAATGCCTAATTAGCAATTAGAGAAAGAGGTAAAACAAAAAAAAAAGGAAGAAAAAACGGAAGGAAACTTGCTAGAAACTAAACGAAAGAAATAATATAAAATAAAACTAAAACATTGGTCAATGCTAGACTCTCACATGGCTTCGACATTAAATTCTACGATAGCGGGAGGCGAGGATTCTGCTGTATCACTAACATCTCACAATCACGATCGCGGTACCCACTTTATAATGCTCCTTGTCTGTACCATATGTTTTGTTGTTTTAATCGCCATTTTTTTGCAAGGGTTGATTTTTTGGCATTATGATTCATTGTTATTTGTTGAACTAGTTGGATAATTGATATCAAGTTAACTTAAACCACGAAGAAATACAAATATTATTGTTGAAATTCAAATAGGTTACAACGAGTTGAAATTCAAATAGGTTACAAATATTATTTTTGAAATTCAAATAGGTTACAACGACGACTCTTCAAAACAGGAAATAAATGGCGACCAATATAAAAAGACATCCTAGGGAGACGATGATGGGGGTGGGTTGCGGTTGGTAGGAGGTAGTGGTGACAACAAGTTGGTTGGAGATGGATTGGTTGGCCGATAGAAGGCATCAGAGAGGAGGGTATGTTACTGTTGTTGGGTTGCTCGTAATGGTATGGGCTGGTTGGGGGTGGACTTTAAGGTGGAAGGAGGGTCAGACGGACTATAGAGGTAGATGAGGGGTTGGTTGACCGGTAGAAGGCTGCAGAGAGTGGGGGAACAGCTGGGGGAATGGCGGGTAGCAGGGAGATACAGGGGAAATAGCGGGCAGCAGGGAGATGTGGGTGCAGGAGGGGCTTTGGCTGTAGAAAATAGGTAGATGGGGGTGCAGGGAAGATGGTAACAAGCAAGAAAAGAAAGATACACATCATCTCAGGACGATTTACAGTAGGAACACCTTCTCACCATCAGATACAATCCTAGAAGGGAAAAGGGGTATGTCGGTGGCTGTCCAAATAGAAATCTCAAGCTAAAATACTAAATCCTAAATTATGCAAAGGACATATTTCTTAAAGTAGATAATATGGAGGACTTGGGCGGCAACCCTAAACCCAAATAATTTCTTCGGTCAACCCCCGTTGCCTCCCTCTTTGAACCGGTACAGCCTTCCATCAGTTTAGTAGCTCCGTGTTGGTCTAACGAGATTGAGGGAGCTTCGACCTCAGTCGTTGATGCCTCCTGCTCATTGACAGTGATGAGGTTGTTGTATGCTCCCAAAATTGACTGATCTTCTAATACAGTCTGGGAAGCAACTGGATTCCATTAGCAACTGCACCATCCCCCAAAATACCTAAGGATTTTTCTTCACTTGTAAGCATACATCCATATCAATCCACTCTCCTGGGCGTTCCCTACTAAACTGAGTTGTGTTTGCGTGTCATGTTTTTACTACTAAATCCTCTCAACATAATCCAAGCTTGGCTTAACTTATAACCTGAATCTCCCCAAATAGTGGTGGCCATGGAAATAAGGTATGAATTGTAATATTCTGAAATGGTCTCTGTCATGATGTCCCATGTCTTGATTCAGTGTCTTGGTCATATCATTTTCTGTCATCATAAAATGGGTCTCACTGACGCTGCTCTGCTAATATGGACACCTGTGATCCTGGGCTCTGTCGAAGGAAGGATGATGTGCTTCCCCTCCTTGTGAAGGAGTAGGTGTTTCTGAAATTTTAGTGCTGAGTCATATGGTCAAATTCACACGGTTTTCGCAACAAGAGCTTGCAAAAATCCATGAGTACCACATCACACTACACCTGATCCAACAACTGTCTTCCAATAGAAAACTTCATTAGGCAACTCTGGTCAATGCTGACACCCTATTCTCTTTTTCAGCCACGTCAAAGAGGATGGTTGGGAATGTCTCATAAGACCCAATTTGTCTAGCATCAGCACAGATGTCGTATTCTTGTTGCTCCCTCCATCAATGATGAGGCTACATGCTTTCCTAGTCTCAGTTGAGCGGCCGTAGAGTATATTGTGGTGAAATCACTTCGGATCCCTCATATTCTCAGTCTAGAAGAACCGTCAAACCTCGAGCATCTCACCCTCATCTGATGGAAGATGATACACCTCGCCCTGTTCTTTAGCTGCCTCTTCATCACTAATCTTCTCCATGGCGCCCTGCTTCATAAAAAAACACGACTCAGCTCGTTTGGAAACTGGAGGCGATGTGCCCAAATCAATGATATCTAACTCATTTTCGAGCTGGAATTTTAGTAGGTGTGCTCATCTTTTCAAACTTCTTTTCACTCATGGTGGTTGTCTTTATCCAAACCAGTTTTCACAACTCCCTAAAACGTGCTCCTGCTGGTGACTCCAATTGTGAGTGACTGCCTGCTTTGTTAGCTGCCTCTCCACCTTCGAGGCCAAGTTTGGACATCTCTCAGTGACCAATAAGGCTGCAACTGCACAACATTGTTGATAGTGCAGGCTTCAGGCTTCCCATATAGTGGGCTATAGTGTGTTCTTCTGGCTCGACCAACTCATACTTCATCTGCAACTGGTCAAATTGTGTTGTGAACTCCTCCACTGATAAGTCTCCTTAATGTAGGTGGTAGAGTCTCAAAAACATATCTTGGCGGTAGTGAGGAGGTACATATTTTATCTGCATTGTCTTTCTCTTCTTTTTTTTATTTGGTAATCTTGTCATTGTCTTATCATTTCCTCTACCTCTGCAAATTTTCTCACCACAAAGAAGCGTTCTTTCTCAATTTAATAGCCGCAAGCTTTACCCTTTTATCTTTTGGCATCTCTTTCTTCTCAAGGTTCTTCTCAACTGATTGTAGTCATTCAATAAAGTCATATGGATCCATACTATCGAATTCTTGTAGATCCACCTCTATTTCGAAGTTAATGTCCTCCATATGGTTCCTCCTTTCTCGGCCTCATTTGATTTGAATTCCATAGCGTCGTGCCATATTTTCATCATCACTGACATCCTCCCTATGCAAGGGGTTAAAATTCTCATCTCTTTTGCCCCCTTGACTTTCTCTGTTAGGATCGAGGGCAATTTCCCTTTGGGTTTTATTCTCCATATCTGTAAGCCTCCACTAAAGTTGTTGTATCTCTTCCCGGATAGGCTCGTGCCTGTATCTACTAGGTGTTATAACTAAGGTTAGAGTTGGGAGTTGAAAGAGGGTATATGAGATTAATTGAAGGTGTAAGAAAATTAATTTTGGATAGCTGATTTTGAAAAGCAGGAAGGCGAAATTGGGGTTATGTCAAAATTTGTCTATAGTTTGAGAATATGAATGAAAATTTTTGGTGGAGGGGATAAGGCGGCCACTAGAAAACCTTAAGATAGGATTAGGATTCGACTAGTTCCGATACCAATTGTTACCGGAGTTAACTCAAATCACAAGGAAATGCAAATATTATAGTTGAAATTCAAATAGGTTAGAAAGATGGCTCTTCAAAATGAGAAATAAATAGTAACCAACATAAAAAGACACTCTAGGGAGATAGCGTTGGTGTTGGATGGTGGCCAATAGGAGGTGGTGGTGACAATAGGGTGGTTGGAGATGGATTTGCAAACCGCTGAAGGCAGCAGAGAGGAGGGTACGGTGGTGTTGTTGTTGGGTTGCTGCTGAAGGCTATGGGCTTGTTGGGGGTGGACGGTAAGGTGGAAGGAGGATTAGCTGGACTATAAATAAAGGAGATGGGTTGGTTCGATGATAGAAGGCATCAAGGTGTTGGGTACATCTAGGGGGATTAGCGGGCAACAGGGAGATGCGTGCAACAAGGGCTTTGGTGGCAGAAAATAGGGAGATTGGGGCTAGGGAGGATGGTAGCAAGTAGGAAAAGAAATATACACACCACCTCAAGACGAATTAGAGTCAAGTTCCTTTTCACTGTTGGATACAACCTTAAAAGGGAAAAAGGGGGATGCTGGTGGTTGTCCAATCAAAAATTTCAAGCCAAAAAACTAACCCTAAATAAAGTAAAGGACAAATTTATAATAGTAGATAGTAAGGACTTGGCCCTGATTCAATAGTCCCCCGTCAATAATGCTTTGAGAATGTGACACACTTGAAATATCAATTTCCATTAGAAGCACAAAATATTTTTCTATAGACAAATGCATACGTTTTGGTACATGAGGCAATTATGCTGGGATGGTTAAAAGTTACTAGTGGTAATAAATGCATCATTTACTGTCCATTAGATTATAATACAAGGATTTGCCAAAATGTCAATAATTTTTACTTTTATTTCAATTGCAGGGTAGGTGTTGCCAGCTTCATTACTTTACTAGTACAGAAAGTAACAGTTGACATAAGTCCTTTCACAAGCATGCTGTCAAAATTATTGTTTCGAGCCACTCTAGATGAAAAGCGAGGTTCAGCGAAGAAATCATTTGCTGCTTCTTGTGCCATTATCCTGAAGTATGGAAGCCCTTCTTTAGCACAAAAGCTAATTGAAGACACTGTAGCTCTTCACTTGGGTGATAGAAATTATCAAGTTTCATGTGCAGTTCTTCTTAAGAATTATGCTAATCTCGCTGCAGATATTTTGAGTGGTTACCACGCTGCTATAATTCCAGTTATCTTTGTGTCAAGGTTAGTAATGGGTATTCTTGCTCTCACCTTTGTTTTTTCACATACTGACTGCCTTGGAAATTTTTTTTTGACGTCTTTCAAGTTTTATTTTGCAATTTTGGGTTAAATCTATGTTTAGTTATGAAGTTTTCAGTTTGATTGAGCGGATGATTTTAGTGACTTCCTTAGCTTACATTCCTATTACAATGATAAGCTGGCTCCAAGATGTAGGGATGTGTTCTATGATTTTTTCATATTATAATAATGTTTAATGTTTCTCTCTGAAGCAAGGCTTTAGTTATGTGATTTAGACAAGGTGAAGAAGACTATTTTGGTCTTCAAAAATGTATGCTTGGCTCAATTGATAATATTTATGTTTTCATATTAAATTTTTAGAAGGTTAGATTTTAGATAAATCGCTACTGAGAGATTTTACCGTCATTTATTAGAGAACATTATCCAATTTCAGGTTTTTTATAGTCGTTTTATTAGTTATTCCTCTTGATGATGAGAGATGACTTTTTTTGTATTAAGGTTAGTCATTATGTGCTAAATATCTTATTTAAGTTAAAAAAAGATTAAAGTTCACTGTCGTTAACTTAGAGCTGATACAGGGGTGAATGATGATGAACCCAATCAAGATCTCATGATTGATCTATTTAGTCATATTAGATAGTTGATCCGAGCAGATCAAAGTATCTTTATCTGCAATTATGGGTTGTGTTGTCCAAAAGAACAGTATAAACTATTAGTTTTTTATTTGACAAAGCAGGCAATTTCAAGTCGGCCTTATTGAATGGATGACTTTATGCCTTATCAAATGTACTAATTGATCACTAGGGAAATTTTTACCATTTGGCAACAAATAGATTGTAGTTTCATGGTGTTATCTGGCGGCAAACAATCTTTTTAAAAGGCCTCGGTCATAACCATATTTTTTTGGTGCAAGTAGTAAAAAAATCATTTAGTTATTATTACCATGTCATAGCCATGTTTTTTATGGTGTCATTTAGTGGCAAAATCATCTAATTAGCAGACATGTCCCATGATCTTACTTGCATGAGACCGCAAAGAGTTGCCATAGAAGCACATTTGATTTGATATTGGCTTTTTTTGAGATTAATTTGATCATAAATTTGTCACCCTGAATAAATTCTTATTGAGGATGGATGGGTTGAGCTTCCTTTCTTTTAAGTGATGAATTTCATTTAAATAGCTTTATATTTTGCAATATGCTTGAACTTTTATATTCTATGTAATTTAAGCATGATACAATTTGCATTAAGATTTGGGACATTTTCATGTTATTATCGTCTTTTGTATTTGCATTAAGATTTGGGACATTCTGATGTTAGTATCATCTTTTGTTGAAAATTTCTATCAACGTGATTACTAGAAGGTTATTTTGAATTATTGACTTTCTTGCATGAATCTTGTTAACTCTGCCTACTTGTCTACAGATGATTGAGTTTGTGCTTTGTGTATGGATCTAGTTGAAAATTTTATTATGCTATAAACATTGTTGACTCCGTCTAATTTATAGAAGAACAGGTCTAATAGTTAAAACTTGTGATTATGCCTCATATACAAAGAGTTTTTATTAACAAAAAATTATAAAAAATTTCAAGGTTTTATGTAAATAGATGATAAAATATGTATTAGTGAATTTAATAATTGAATATTAGATTTCTAGTTTGCTAATCCTTGTTGACTCTAATGTTTACGATTTGGAGGATTAGACTTACAAAATGGGACTTGTGATTCTTCCATGTTGGTGGAGAAGTCCGCTTAAGAGCATACATATAACAAATTGATGAGCCAAAATTTGAAAGGTAATTTATGAAGTTTAGATAATTATATATTATGGAGAGCAATTGCATGCTTCTCATTGAGGGGTGAATTTTTAATTCATCTCATTCATTTGTATATTTTGTGCTATTTTTGATATCACGTTCTAATAGTTAACATGTTTGTCAGAACATATGTGAGTAAGTTGATGTTTAAAAGCATTATGAATCTTTTGAATGGTGTCACACCTTTTGTTTCTAGCATGATTTCTAATGCATTTGCATGATATGCTAGCAATTCAATGCACTAGAGAAATGCTTAAGAAAGATATTTGGTGCACTTACTCGATGGATTTACATGTTTTTTGGTGCATTGTGCACTTTTATAAATTTTTGGTGTATTTGCACTAAGCATTTCACTCTTTTCGAGGAGTTGAATTTACATTGAAAAGTCCCTCATGAAATTTATCTAAAATTGGAATTATTCAAACTTATTATATTTGTATGAATATATTATCATTAAATGCATAAAAAATCATTGAGTTCTATAGATTATATTATGTTTGTCACGACGGTAAAATTAAGTTTTCTATTATTCATAATCTTGTCATTAACAGTTTATAATCCAAATAAAATGTAAGAGCCACTAAGATAATAAATTAACATAATACAATTAAATTTTTTTTACCTTATCTCAGGTTGTTCAGGTTCTCATATTTTAATTAAATAATTAAATTTGAAGTTTTAATTTAAGACATCGAGCTAAAAATGTCAATGAGTACGCTTACTTCTAAATCACAGTAACGTAACGAAAATAAAGTGATATACATGTCAATTAATTTTTTTCATAAAACAACATAAAAACATTTGATAACTATGAATATGGTTGATCACAATATTGAATAGCATTCAATGTGTTAATAAATATGTCGATATCATTTTATATCTGTATAAAATTAAAATTAAACAATTAAATTTGCTTAGCTTAACTTAGGTCATTCACATCTTTATAATTTCCTCTTTTATTGCTCATCTACCAATCAAATAATTGAATTTAAAATATTAATTTAAAACAACAGTAAGCTAAAAATACATCAAGTTCACCTATTTTTAAATCACAGTAACGTAATAAAAGTGACAATACACATGTTGATCAAATGTTTTCATAAATCAAATAAAAGCTTTTGATAATTTATGTATATGATTGATCATGGTATTTCAAAATATTCAATGTGTTTTATTATATCAATAAATATCTATATTATTTTATATTTGTACAATCGTTATATAAGCACCTTATAAAGTTTTATTATTTAAGGTATTTCAATATCAATATTCTTTTTCATTTACATGCACGATTCATTAACATTTTTATCTAGTATCATAAAAAGGTGTACTTCATTATTGTCAAACTTGCACATGCAAACATACTATATTGTCCATACCATTCATATGCTCTTTTAATTTTATTCATCATAACAATATGACCAACAAAATAGTCTTTAAATCACAGTACGATAGTCAACATGCACATACAAGCATAATATATAATTCATATCATTCATATGCCTCTTTTATTATATTCATCATAATGACATGACCATTTAACAGAGTAGTTAAATCACATTACAATAGTGCAATCAGGTTTCAGTAACATTCAATAAAGTCAATTTAGAAGAAACAAAAGTTACTATAACTTTAAAGTAATATTACTCACCTCAATCAGATGTTTTGTTTTTAATTTTTATCGCTTTCTCCAATTTACTTATAATAATAATGTAGAAAATAATTTATTTTTTATAATTAACCTTTTTTTATTCAATTTCATTAATTATCCTTATGTTTTGAATGATTAATTTTATCAATTCATATAATTTTATTATTCATATGATTTTATCTATTCTTAGAATTTTTGTATCTATTGGTATAATTTTCTTATCTTCAATAAATAAATATTAAGTAGTAGGTGGTAGAATTGTAGTAGAAATATTATGTAGTAGGTGGTAGAATTTAACCGTCATTCCTCATCCGAAGATTGACTCATTTCTTGCTCGTTCGGATTAGGTGGTAGAATCGTGGTAGAAAGATTGTCAATCATTGTAACCACAATAGGTTCTAGTGTGTGTGAAGTATGAGTTGTCACATCTGCACCAGATACTTCCTGAAGATGAGGAGCTGCAAGGATCTCGGTATTATCAGTCTGATCACTATCTTTTGTTGGTAAGGATCATTCAATATTGTTTTCAATAAGGTTTGAAGGTTTAGAATGCCTTAGGTTGCCCAGCAAATCCATCCGACATCACATCAATCGTAGAAACAGAAACAGTATTATCAAGGGGTCCACAGGGGCAATTAAATCAGATACCAATTCCTGTCTTATGGTAATTTCCTTCACGGGTGGAGCACGTGTCCAGAGCAGTGAGGTTAGACCCATCCTTATTAACTTAAGCTTTAGTTTTCAAATTAGACTGAAACATGTGACATTTATCAAGGGTATGCCCAAACATCTTATAGTGGGTATAATAAAAAGATCTATGTTCCATGACAATTTGTTGTCAATATCCATTCTGAGTTGTGCCCAGCCAGACTTCAATAATATCAGATAAAGTAAAATCCCTTTCCACAAGTACTTTGGCTACAGAAGACCTGATTAGATTGAAGGTGAGCAGATCTAGCTTCATAGGATCCCCAAGTATGACCTCAATAGGGTAGAGAACCTGATGATTAAAGAAATGCTGCTTGAGACAAGGTAAACTAAATCATACCGGTACAGTGAGAGATTCATGATTTGGGTCAAAATCAGGAAACAACTTGAGTAACGTTATTGATTTGCCTGCAATATTAAGATATTTTTTAAAGAAAATCTAAACGTAGTCTTCAGCTACGGTTAATTGAATAAACAGATGTTTCTCATCAAAAAGTCTCACGTTTCACTTGCCTGCTAGTTTGAGATCATAAAAAATCTTTCTGATAACTTTCTTAGGTAGGTGCCTCCATTGAAATTTTTTAATAAGCGTGAACTTGCATTTCTTAGTCAGGGTTGAAATTTCTAAATCAGAGAAAAAGAGTGTTGTTTTCCCACCTTTTCTACTTATCTTTTCAACAAAAGGGCAGTCACTTGTACCATCACGACAATCCTTATAGTTGAGGGGAAGACAACAGCAGACTCCACTAGATGATTACCCACTATGTCGGTGAAAGAGAATTTGTCAGGTTCAACCGAAGGAGGGAGCG